CCAAAAGCCACATCTGTATTCGTCATGCACCAAGATTCCACATTTATATCAGCCAAAACTAACTCAACTACGAACCCGCTGCTCTGTACTAATACTTTTCTGGAGTTTTATCTTGTGTAATATCCGGGAGCAGGTATTGTTACTACATCGCTCGGTCTGGCCAGACAGTTCTATCTAAACAGCGACCGCAGGATTGCAGTGTGGTGCACACACCGCTCGCCAAAATCGTAAATTGTCGAGGGGCTTTTGATGGGAGATACTGGGTGGGTATCAGTCTGCAAATGAGTATGGTTTGGTTCGTGGCAGTCAACAAAAGAAATTTAGTGCATTCTCGGCGTCTCTCCAACTACCCGGGCTCGGTCCGGACGGTAAATATCAGGGACAAGATGGGAGGATATTCTATTGGAGTGCCATTGTTTGTTAATTGTTGATTTTCCAGCAATACGACACCACATAGTCTAGCAATAACCCAAGAAGGGAATTTGTACCCTGTCCTTGCTTAAACAAAAATTAACCCTTTAGGACAACCCACACCTGGACTACACTTGACTGAACCCTCACAGGACAGAGCCAATGATATCAGACAAGTAGAGTTCTCGCTCTCTCTAATAAAACAGAACCTTCATTTTCCCAATACGAAACCCTCACAAGACACTAAAAAAATACTTGTATAGACATGAACTTCATTACAGACAAACCCCCCCAATTGTCAGAACCCTCCCTAAATAGAACCCTCACTACACAAAACAAAACTATCACTAGTCAGAACCCTCATTCGAGAGAACGCTCTTTAGCTAAAGTCATCACAAGATAGCATCCTTGTAAGTCAGACAAAGCCTACCCTAGACAGCAACGTAACTAGATCGGATTGTTTGTGAAATATTGCCATTGCAATCATTCAAGATTTACAAACGTAGATGCATTGAAACTGATACGAGCTTGTTTGGCGCAGGACTTCTAAACAAATTGTGAGGTTAGGATTCCCTGACATTTCAATCATCAGTCAAGGCTCTACCACAGAAACTGAACGAGCACGTGAGATTGGTTAGTGTTTACTACTGACACTTACTTAACAAACACTTATTTAACACATACGTAGTTAGTATTAACTACTGACACTTAACACATACGTAGTTAGTGTTAACTACTGACACTTACTTAACAAAGTCGTAGTTAGTGTTAACTACTGACACGTACTTAACAAAGTCGTAGTTAGTATTAACTACTGACACTTACTTAACAAAGTCGTAGTTATTGTTAACTAGTGACACGTACTTAACAAAATTGTAGTTTGTGTTAATCAACGACAGGCACTTAGCATATACGTAGTTAGTGTTAACTACTGACACGTACTAAACCTAAACGTAGTTAGTGTTAACAACTGACACGTACTTAACATAGTTGTAGTTTGTGTTAACTACTGACACTTACTTAACACATACGTAGTTAGTATTAACTACTGACACTTACTTAACAAACACGTACTTAACACATACGTAGTTAGTATTAACAACTGACACTTACTTAACACATACGTAATTAGTATTAACAACTGACACTTACTTAACAAAGTCGTAGTTAGTGTTAACTAGTGACACGTACTTAGCACATACGTAGTTAGTGTTAACTACTGACACGTACTTAACACATACGTAGTTAGTGTTAACAACTGTCACGTACTTAACATAGTCGTAGTTAGTGCGTTACTACTGACACGTACTTAACATAGTCGTAGTTAATGTTAACTACTGACACGTACTTAACAAAGTTGTAGTTAGTGTTAACTACTGACACGTACTTAGCACATACGTAGTTAGTGTTAACTACTGACACGTACTTAACACATACGTAGTTAGTGTTAACTACTGACACGTACTTAACATAGTCGTAGTTAGTGCGTTACTACTGACACGTACTTAACATAGTCGTAGTTAATGTTAACTACTGACACGTACTTAACAAAGTTGTAGTTAGTGTTAACTACTGACACGTACTAAACCTAAACGTAGTTAGTGTTAACTACTGACACTTACTTAACAAAGTCGTAGTTAGTGTTAACTACTGACACGTACTTAGCAAAGTTGTAGTTAGTGTTAACTAGTGACACGTACTTAGCACATACGTAGTTAGTGTTAACTACTGACACGTACTTAACACATACGTAGTTAGTGTTAACTACTGACACGTACTAAACCTAAACGTAGTTAGTGTTAACAACTGTCACGTACTTAACATAGTCGTAGTTAGTGCGTTACTACCGACACGTACTTAACATAGTCGTAGTTAGTGTTAACTACTGACACGTACTTAGCACATACGTAGTTAGTGTTAACTACTGACACGTACTTAACACATACGTAGTTAGTGTTAACTACTGACACGTACTTAACATAGTCGTAGTTAGTGTTAACTACTGACACGTACTTAGCACATACGTAGTTAGTGTTAACTACTGACACGTACTTAGCACATACGTAGTTAGTGTTAACTACTGACACGTACTTAACAAAGTCGTAGTTAGTGTTAACTAGTGACACGTACTTAGCACATACGTAGTTAGTGTTAACTACTGACACGTACTTAACACATACGTAGTTAGTGTTAACTACTGACACGTACTTAACAAAGTCGTAGTTAGTGTTAACTAGTGACACGTACTTAGCACATACGTAGTTAGTGTTAACTACTGACACGTACTTAACACATACGTAGTTAGTGTTAACTACTGACACGTACTTAACATAGTCGTAGTTAGTGTTAACTAGTGACACGTACTTAGCACATACGTAGTTAGTGTTAACTACTGACACGTACTTAACACATACGTAGTTAGTGTTAACTACTGACACGTACTTAACATAAACGTAGTTAGTGTTAACAACTGTCACGTACTTAACATAGTCGTAGTTAGTGCGTTACTACTGACACGTACTTAACATAGTCGTAGTTAGTGTTAACTACTGACACGTACTTAGCACATACGTAGTTAGTGTTAACTACTGACACGTACTTAACACATACGTAGTTAGTGTTAACTACTGACACGTACTAAACCTAAACGTAGTTAGTGTTAACAACTGTCACGTACTTAACATAGTCGTAGTTAGTGCGTTACTACTGACACGTACTTAACAAAGTCGTAGTTAGTGTTAACTACTGACACGTACTTAGCACATACGTAGTAAGTGTTAACTACTGACACGCACTTAGCACATACGTAGTTAGTGTTAACTAGTGACACGTACTGAACAAAGTCGTAGTTAGTGTTAACTACTGACATGCACTTAGCACATACGAAGTAAGTGTTAACTACTGACTCGTACTTAACAAAGTTGTAGTTTGTGTTAACTACTGACACTTACTTAACAAAGACGTAGCTAGTGTTAACTACTGACACGTACTTAACAAAGTTGTAGTTTGTGTTAACTACTGACACTTACTTAACAAATACGTAGTTAGTGTTAACTACTGACACGTACTTTACACAGACGTAGTTAGTGTTTAACTACTGACACTTACTTAACACATACACCCAGGGGCGTTTCTAGGATATTTGAAAGAGGGGGCGTAGAATCAAAAATTTCGCCGAGCGGAGCGAGGCAAACAATTTTTTTGAACCTTTTTTTTGCTAAAAAAAAAAATACGGATCACCCATCGGATGGGGGAAGCAGTATAAAAAGAAATCAGAGTATGTGTTTAATTAATGAATATGATAAATTGCCATATTCAATACAATATTAGCAGATTACGATAGTTTTTGTTGTTGTTTTTTTGAAAAGGGGGCGTACGCCCATTACGCCCTCACCTGGACCCGCCCCTGACACCCGTGTTTTTTTTTTACTTTTGCTTTAGTACAGACAATTATCTTACACGTGTGGTAGAGTACCGTTAATAACGAGACTTTACACGTGTTTAACGACTTCAACTACCAACTAGGGCGGCTTACTCGACACATGTGTTGATATAATTGCGACTTTTTACACGTGTGGTTACGATAGTGTACACATGCGTCTTTAGCCTGTGTAACTCAAACAAGCGAGCCACGCTTTAAACTACTAAATCTTGCTTAGGAGAAGGCGTTTTGGATATAGTAGGGAATGTACCCTAATTGGTCTTGAATAGTCATCGATAGATCAGAAACTCAAAACATAGTATGGGTCAGACGTGTACGATACTTTCAACCAGAATTCATATTCTGAATGTGTCAACCTCAATGTAGTATTTAAGTGAATGTCAATTCCACACCATAGCGTACCAAAAATAAACATGTAAAGGTATTCGATGGTCACCGATGTATCTATCACCACCCTTCTACCAACCGTAACATTTCAATGTGGCGGTTTTCCCTCAGAACCTGACGGTCAGTGTAGCATTTTCCCAACCCCTTTCTCTTATGAATGGGGGCCGGAGGAAGGGGGGTCTTGTAGTACACTGGTGTGATGCGTAGGGGAAATCTCCAGGTTCTACAACATGGAAAGGTTGATAAATGTCAATCCCGACGCTTTAACAAATGGTTTAGGATAGGGGTTTTACTTGGTGTAACCGCTGTTCCCCAGTAATAGGGACTGTAGCTGTTTAATGTGTATTGCTCAGTTTCAGTTCGTCCACGAGTGTAATCAGTGGCAGCTTCCAATCAATGCCCATGTCGTACCACAATTTTGTTTGCCTCGACCGACTTGTAAACAAATAGTGATGACATTTGCCAAAAGAAAACAATTACATTTGTGTTGTGTACATAGGGACGTCTCTATCCCGTCCGCATCCAAACACAGTCCCATACACTCCATCCAAAAGGAAATATAATCTTGATACAGAAATTCCGTAAATTCCAAAAAGTGGGTCAAAAACTGTGCATATACGTTGCAATGCATATCTTATATGTTATGAAAACACTTGAAATACGTTATATGCGCAACTCTCTAAATCCAAGTACGGTAACTATAATACCAAGATGAAACTCTGCTCATTGGTGTTTTCATAAAAACTACACAGAAATTAAATAAAATTTGGAAAAAATAATCCGGGAAAATATTGAGGTTAACAGAATGTTGCCGACACAGGTAGGGTGAGACGAAACAGGTAGGGCGCGGGTACCCGTGTTTACTGATGCGGGGACGACGGGCTTCCCTGCCGTGGTACTGCCCCAGAACTGACGGCGCGCTCCTGTAGATACACTCGCAGTGATAATACTGACAACACTGCTACACACACGTGCTTCTCCGCGCTACCTGTCACATATGATGTAAGGCCATCTACCTGCAACTTTCGCTTTGGGATTCAGGGATTTACAATTACTTTCAAAATGGAGAAACATAGAACGGATGGAGTTAAAAAGAAATCTGTGAAGTGCTCTCGTTGCAGTGCGTTAGTTGTATCATGTTTTGTGGCAGCCCTGCTGGTCTCCCTCACCGGCTACTTGCTATGGAGTCTGGCTTCCTATCACCAAACTCTCGTTCTGTTACAAACTCGGGTGGCAAAACTCGAGGATGATCGCTTAAATAACGAGAGAAATATTGAAACTATTGTGAAAACAAGAGTGGACATAGAAATGAAAAAGGTAAGTAGATTTAACATATCAAGTAAATAAACATAATAATTTTAAAATTACTTCTAAAAAGTTTTATAAAGACATTTTATGATAAAATCACGTTTACAACATTAGTTTTACATTGAGGATTATCAGACGGTAAATCTTTTTATAAAGTAGGTTATTTCTTCCATGAATGTTACACATTCAATCCAGACTCGGTCCAGCCGATACCCTGCAGACAAGTATCTTTACGAGTGTGTTTACCGGTCGAATTTTCTGTCGATTAAGAAAACCTGTGTAGCATATTGTAGTAGCTTTGGTATGTAGCATATCAGTATAGGCCAATATTGAAATCACGGACAAATTGATGGAATGTGGTGTTATGGGGAAAATGAAAAGGAAAGATGTGCTTTTCATAAAAAAATGTTTATGAAACATTGGTTGTTTTGCCGAAGTATCTGGCAATAATTTTTTTCTTTTTTAGTAAAAAATAAATATAGACTTTAAAAGATGAGGAGATGGTTCACTGTTAAGAAACATTCTGATATGTGTATGTAATCTTGACTTTCCTGTTGTATTTTCCTTGTAGCATTTTGACAGTTTGTCTACTAAACCAGGCAACCGAAAGCGAGTGGCTCGACAGACTCCCTCATGTCCATGTACACAAGGTAAGATATTCCCTGTGTAAATTAAATAATCTAGACTAACGGTTTTAAACCGATAACATTCCCTCATATTGTCCCATGTACAATTTGATAAGGTTGCAAAAAATTATAAAATCTTTTTAAAATCTTTTTTTAGGTGATAACTGTCACCATATCATCTTCAAAATAAGAAGTAAAAAAAAGGGATTCAAGATTTTTATGACTCAAAAGATATAAATAAATTTTATAAATAAAATATGTTTAATGCTGCAATATAAATCAAGAGAGATAAGTAATGGGTTGTGTCAACAGCTTTGATGGGAGGTCCTGTCAGGCGAGCTGTCTATTAGATAAAGTATTGTTACTGATACCGAGAAGCACACAATTAAGACAAATGCCTGGTGTCAAAGTGTATCAGAGATAATCATAGCACAGGTCGGAAGAGGCTGGACTCCTTAATAACGAGTATATCCTGGGAAAGTTCTACTGCATTATAGAGAAATTCAAGTCCCTCTTATCCCCCACAGGGCGAGTTCAAGTCCCATCACACACCCTTCAAGAAGTTCAGTTCCTATTAGTCTCTCAAGGGTAATTATGAGGTAATCAAATCCATATCATACCTAATAACAGAGATCTGAGATGGTACACCCCCACAATAAGTGTTATATATATCAGGTCCATATGATCCCCACAATGTGTTCTGTGGTGATGAAGTCCCTTTCATCCCAATAATGAGAATTATTACGGTGACACCCCCAACAACGACTCATTAGTTGGCACAGCAACTATTATCACCCACAATGAGAGTTCTGAGATGATTAAGTCCCTATTATCTCTACAGTATGAGTTTTGAGTTAAGGCCCTATTACTCCATCAGTGAGAGTTTTTAGTTAAAACCCTATTATCCCATCAGTGAGAGTTGTTAGTCAAGCCCTTATTATCCTTACAGTGATCATGAGAGTTCAAGGTAAACCATTATCCCTACACTGAGACCCATGAGGTGGTACAGTCCCATGAGAGTTCTGAGATGATTAATTCCCTATTATCTCTACAGTAAGAGTTTTGAGTTAAGTCCCTATTATCCCTACAGTGAGAGTTTTGAGTTAAGTCCCTATTCCTACAGTGAGAGATTTAAGTCAAGTCCTTATCCCTACAGTGAGAGTTTTTAGTTAAGTCCTTATTCCCACAGTGAAAGTTTTGAATTAAGTCCCTATCCTTACAGTGACAGTTTTGAGTTAATTCCTTATTCCTACAGTGAGAGTTTTAAGTTAAGTACTTATTCCTACAGTGAGAGTTTTGAGTTAAGTACTTATTCCTACAGTGAGAGTTTTGAGTTAAGTCCCTATCCTTACAGTGAGAGTTTTGAGTTAAGTCCTTATTCCTACAGTGAGAGTTTTGAGTTAAGTCCTTATTCCTACGGTGATAGTTCTAAGTTAGTTCCATATTATCCCAAAAGTGTATTTTTTTTAAGTTAAATCCCTGTTCTCCCCACATTAAGAGCTGTGAGAGTTTGAGTTCAGTCTTTGTTTTCCCTACAGTATGAGTTCTGTGTTTATTTCCTATTATCCCTTACTACAGTAAGAGTTTTGAGATGATGAAGTCCCTATTATCCCCAATAGAGTTATGAGTTGGTAAATCCCTATTATCCCCACAGTGAAAGTTCTTATTTGATAAAGCCCCTTATATCTCCAATCCCCAATATACTGTATATAAGAAATATGAGGTGATAAAACCCTTGTCATTAATTAGTGTATTATAAAGTGAGAAAAAACCCTGTTTATCACCCATTTTAGTGAGTATGAGGTAGTAAATCCCCTTTGAGTACAATTCCTATAAGGAGAGTTTAGAAGTCCTTATTATCCCACATTGGAGTACTTATTGTCCCACATTGGAGTACTTATTGTCCCACATTGGAGTACTTATTGTCCCACACTGAAGAACTTATTATCCCACACTGAAGTACTTATAATCCCACACTAAGGTACTTATAATCCCACACTGAAGTACTTATTATCCAATACTGAGGTACTTATTATTCCACACTGAGGTACATATTGTCCCACACTGAAGTACTTACTGTCCCACACTGGAGTTCTTATTATCCCACACTGAAGTACTTATTATCCCACACTGAAGTACTTATTATCCCACACTGAGGTACCTATTGTCCCACACTGAAGTATTTATTGTCCCACACTGAAGTACTTATTGTCCCACACTGAAGTATTTATTGTCCCACACTGATTTACTTATAATCCCACACTGAGGTACTTATTATCCCACACTGAAGAACTTATTGTCCCACACTGGAGTACTTATTATCCCACGCTCAAGTATTTATTATCCCACACTGAGGTACTTATTATTCCACACTGAGGTACATATTGTCCCACACTGAAGTATTTATTGTCCCACACTGAAGTACTTATTGTCCCACACTGAAGTATTTATTGTCCCACACTGGAGTTCTTATTATCCCACACTGAGGTACATATTATCCCACACTGGAGTACTTATTATCCCACACTGAAGTACTTATTATCCCACACTGAAGTACTTATTATCCCACAATGAGGTACATATTGTCCCACACTGGAGTTCTTATTATCCCACACTGAAGTACTTATTATCCCACACTGGAGTACTTATTATCCCACAATGAGGTACATATTGTCCCACACTGAAGTACATATTGTCCCACACTGAAGTACTTACTGTCCCACACTGGAGTTCTTATTATCCCACACTGAGGTACATATTGTCCCACACTGAAGTATTTATTATTCCACACTGAGGTACATATTGTCCCACACTGAAGTATTTATTATTCCACACTGAGGTACATATTGTCCCACACTGAAGTATTTATTGTCCCACACTGAGGTACTTATTGTCCCATACTGAGGTACTTATTATCCCACACTGAAGTATTTATTATCCCACACTGAGGTTCTTATTGTCCCACACTGAAGTACTTATTGTCCCACACTGGAGTACTTATAATTCCACACTGAAGTACTTATTGTCCCACACTGAAGTATTTATTGTCCCACACTGAAGTACTTATTGTCCCACACTGAGGTACTTGTTGTCCCACACTGTGTTCCTTATTATCCAATACTGAGGTACATATTGTCCCACACTGAAGTATTTATTGTCCCACACTGAAGTACTTCTTGTCCCACACTGAAGTACTTATTGTCCCACTCTGGAGTACTTATAATTCCACACTGAAGTACTTATTGTCCCACACTGGAGTTCTTATTATCCCACACTGAAGTACTTATTATCCCACACTGAGGTTCTTATTGTCCCTCACTGAAGTACTTATTGTCCCACACTGGAGTTCTTATTATCCCACACTGGAGTACTTATTATCCCACACTGAGGTACATATTGTCCCACCCTGAAGTACTTATTGTCCCACACTGGAGTACTTATTATTCCATACTGAGGTACATATTGTCCCACACTGAAGTACTTATTGTCCCACACTGAATTATTTATTATCCCACACTGAGGTTCTTATTGTCCCACACTGAAGTACTTATTATCCCACACTGGAGTACTTATTATCCCACTCTGGAATACTTATTATCCCACACTGAGGTACATATTTTCCCACACTGGAGTACTTATTATCCCACTCTGGAATACTTATTATCCCACACTGAGGTACATATTGTCCCACACTGAAGTACTTATTATCCCACTCTGGAATACTTATTATCCCACACTGAGGTACATATTGTCCCACACTGAAGTACTTATTATCCCACTCTGGAATACTTATTATCCCACACTGAGGTACATATTGTCCCACACTGAAGTACTTATTATCCCACACTGGAGTTCTTATTATCCCACACTGGAGTACTTATTATCCCACTCTGGAATACTTATTATCCCACACTGAGGTACATATTGTCCCACACTGAAGTACTTATTATCCCACACTGGAGTACTTATTATCCCACACTGAGGTACATATTGTCCCACACTGAAGTACTTATTGTCCCACACTGGAGTACTTATTATCCCACACTGAGGTACATATTGTCCCACACTGAAGTACTTATTGTCCCACACTGGAGTACTTATTATCCCACACTGAAGTACTTATTATCCCACACTGGAGTACTTATTATTCCACAATGAGGTACATATTGTCCCACACTGAAGTATTTATTATCCCACACTGAGGTACATATTGTCCCACACTGAAGTACTTATTATCCCACACTGAGGTACATATTGTCCCACACTGAAGTAATTATTATCCCACACTGAGGTACTTATTATCCCACACTGAGGTTCTTATTGTCCCACACTGTGTTCCTTATTATCCAATACTGAGGTACATATTGTCCCACACTGAAGTATTTATTATTCCACACTGAGGTACATATTGTCCCACACTGAAGTATTTATTGTCCCACACTGAAGTACTTATTATCCAATACTGAGGTACTTATTATTCCACAATGAGGTACATATTGTCCCACACTGAAGTATTCATTGTCCCACACTGAAGTACTTATTGTCCCACACTGAGGTACTGAAGTATTTATTGTCCCACACTGAAGTACTTATTGTCCCACACTGAGGTACTTATTGTCCCACACTGAGGTACTTATTGTCCCACACTGAGTTCCTTATTATCCAATACTGAGGTACTCATTATTCCACAATGAGGTACATATTGTCCCACACTGAAGTACTTATTATCCAATACTGAGGTACTTATTATTCCACAATGAGGTACATATTGTCCCACACTGAAGTACTTATTGTCCCACACTGAAGTACATATTGTCCCACACTGAAGTATTTATTGTCCCACACTGGAGTACTTATTATTCCACACTGAGGTACATATTGTCCCACACTGAAGTACTTATTGTCCCACACTAGAGTTCTTATTATCCCACACTGAAGTACTTATTATCCCACACTGAGGTACTTATTGTCCCACACTGAGGTACTTATTGTCCCACACTGAAGTACTTATTATCCCACACTGA